CAATAAATATTTCAGAACCTTGAGTACATAAATACCATTCTAATGTCGATTTGGGGCCTGACAAATATACCTGGTAACAGTCGGTCCTGGTGGTAAGATCGGACGATGTTGGGGCGCTGTACCCGTAGCGCGGATATCCATTATTGGGCCTTGCGACGTGGGATGTTCAAGTACCTGGTGACAGAAACAATTATTGAATACCTCCGTCTCTTGAGTATATAAATAGCGGACCATTTATACTCTTTATATACTGTAGTAGGGAGACGTTGAACTGATATTCAGTCATTTGCTAACACAACTGCAGGGGGAAACACAGGAAAGGCGTGACTCTACTCTCATAAATTCTGTGCTGTAACACTGATCAGCCAAATTTTGAGAAAATATTCTAGTCATGCATGATCCATGAGCAGGGGCATCTTCACATTGTTGGTGTTGACCTCTACAGTCGACAAAATTAGAAGCTATACTGCGATTTGAGATCATAACTGCGTAACTACGGAGTATTCAAACTATCAATTACATACTGTATGTATGTCCGTCATGCTATACGCGCTTAGAGGTCGAGGTTTTGCAGTTTTGAGTTTTGACTTTGAAAGAACAACCTTAATTGAATTAGCTGTATACACTAGGATGATGTCAGTGAATGCTATAAGGGTAATATTCGATATTCGGAAAGGTATAAGGGCAATATTTTTTAAATTATTGCCTTAACCACTACAACAATACTGTACATACCATAGGTTGTCGATGAGGTGGAAAATCAGAAGTAAACGATATTCTACCATCACTCATGGATTCCATCGTTTGACAGGTCTTGAAATCACCAGGGATACCTTGTCCTCCAAATGTACTGTTTGTCTCGACTGTCCCTACAGATCCCAGGGCTGAATGCAGCCTTAGGTTAGTGGAAGCTTTGGATTCAGGTCTCCTCTGCTCTGACTTGCGTTTGGAAGTGAATCGAAACCGTATGGTATCTTCCGAAATCTTCAAATAAATAAAAATGTGCTATATAATATATGTATTTAAAACACTAGGGATTTACACACGCATTTTAGCCTTCTACCGCTCTTTCGGAAGATGATTGGTTTTAGTAAAGTCACTTCCCCACTTCCACAAAAACCCCTCACCCCCGAAAATTTTTCATTTTGTCTCCGCGAAATAACATTTCCGCATTCAGACAGCACTTTTAAACAAAACTATAACCGTTTTAAAACATTAACAATTAGCCTTTTCCAAAAGAGATCACAGTGCACTTCTGGATCGTTTGGAGAACAAAATGTATGGAGACAGGCGTCAAATATGTGAAAGAGTAGAAGTATCAACTTTTAGACGACAAAAATAAATATCTCCTTTTTACATTAAACATTTAATTTAAGTGTGTGCTGCCATATTTCTTGTCCCTCCAACATGGGAATTCACGATATCATTGAACCATTCACAGAAATTTCATTGCATCTTAAACTAAGTACAGCACTATACCTCTTTCCCACTTCGACTTACGCCAGTCCACGTCAGCACGTTGCCAGGGTGATAGTGATGTCCACCCTGTAAGGTCAAGGTCACTGTCCCTTCATCGATAAGACCATCCTTGAATGGTTCCCAGACGCCTTCGCGGACGCAGACATTGAAGCTTTTTGAACGAACAAGGCTTCCGGTTGGTGAACTGGCAGTGCTTCTCCATGAAGTCTAGGAATTACATAATTAATTAATACAAAGTCTAGATCCATGAACAGAGTGAATATGGTGTCACACATTGAGTTAATCTATATAGGGCTGTCTGTTGGTATATATCACACTCTTACTGGGCTTCTAGGGAGAACAGTTTAGAACTGATAGAGCTATTGAGTAGAAATAAAATGTGTTCCAATTGACCTAGCTGACGAGAATCAGTTTCTGTTGGTGGACTTTGACTGTGGTCGTCCTTCTGCAATTATGTGAACTTACTATACACACATTACAACATATCATGTATTAACTTTACCCTCTTTTTCTTCACGCCCGAGTCACCAGTATTATCAACGACCACAGGCTTCGCAAATTCTTCCGACATGACGTAGTTGAGTTGAAACACGATCGCAAACAATTTGTTGGTAACAAGTTCAGACAAATTCAGTCGACTTCGCAAGACCAGTCTGGTTATGTTTCCTGGATGAAAATGGGAGTAAAACGTTATATAATTATTCTTAAGTAGGGCTAAATTTACAGAATCGGTAGAGATGGAATATTTTATTGAATTCATTTTAGGGTTGCACCCTCCACTCCATAAGAAAACGAAAACGACCATTCTTTAAATATCGAAATTTCCCTGAACCTTTTGGTCAAAGAAAGTGAACCTTATTTTTAAGAAAACAAAACAATATAAGCCAATAGAAAATGTGTCCAGTTGATGTCCACCTCAACTAGCTTTTGCTATTTGTGGACTGCAATAGTTTTATTCTTATTTGTAAAAATATTCAAATAAAAGTTGAAAAAAAGTTGAAGTTGAATTCTTTACTTGGTTGTAACATTGCCTGGCTTTCAGATATATTAATGCATTTCGCAGTACAGCACAAACTGACAGTACAAATTAAAGACATTACGCCAAAGTCCTACCTTTGAGAGAAGACATAGAGTTTGCTGTGTTTCCCATCTTCACCTGTCCGGCAAATTCAGGTTCCAAGACTACAATATGCGGTTTACTGACAAACGTCCAACCATTGTGTACTCCCACCTAGAACGTGGTTAACCCAAACATGATTTGTTGCCTAATGTCAAATTCTTGCCTAATTGCCCACTATTGTAACTTTAGAAGATCTTTTGCTATTTCAGCCCACTTGTATAGACAACTTTGACCACAATAGTTTCTTTAAAAATTAAGCCTAGTTTACACCATCAAAGTTTGAAGTTTCTGTGATCACAGTAGGAATTTTGCATCGGTAAGTTTTGCAGTTTGTGAGATTGTTTGAGGAAATGACTCAGTGTTTAACATTAAGTCAGTCCCCTCAAACATTTCTTACAAATCCTTCAAAACTGATACCTGTAAAAAATTCCTACTGTGATCACAGAAACTTTGATAGTGTAAACCAGCAGACCCTAGTCAAAGTTGCACCACCTTACACAGTCTAAGGCTGTGCCAAAAATTACATCATTATTTTAAAATGTTCAAAATGAAATAAAATCTTCGACTGCAAACCTGTAATTTTCTTTCAACAATCTTAACACTGTTAACATCTTGGACATTGCTCTATAACGGAATTTTTTATTACTTTAGCAATATTAAAAAATCTTAATTTTCAAAAAACAAATTTTTGAAAACGATTATTCGCACGCTACCTTCAACAAACGGTCAGCATTAAGATCATCAATCAAATCTTTCTCAAAATCCTCAATCGACGGTAAAAAATTCACGTGGAGCTATCGAAAATTGAGCGAGTTAATATGTAAGGAAAATCTAAACATTATGTAAAAATCTTAAATCTTATAAATCATCTTTGCTACCTTATCAATAAAGGACATAAAAGTCTTCTCAAGACGGGGCTTATATAAAATATCGATAATGCCATTTGCTAAAAAAACAAAGATAAATCAGTCACTTGCTTGCATTATATAAAATATGAATCAACGTTAGAAATACAGATCGATGTAACAGATATTTTAAATTAATCAAAAATAAATAACATGTTGCTCTAAATTGTTGTCAATTGAATACTTCCGGAATATCTTCCTTTTCTCTGCCTTCGTTCTTTCATTCTTTCTTCTTTGAAGCTTTGTTCTTCCATCCTTATTCCACGTTCCCATCGATATTTCATTTCTATAATCTCTCATCCTATCTTCTTTCCTTTGTCCCCTCCCTCCTTCCATTAATTCATCCGTCCATCCATATATTCATCCATCCTCCCTCCTTCCTTTCTCCTTTGTTTGAGACTGTAAATTTTCGACTTT